TCCATATTTATAGCATCATTACAATCCACATCAATCGCCAGAATAGCAGACTTAGGAATTAAGATTGGCATAGTAAAAGACGAGACGCACACCAGATACGCCAGAAGACTTGTTAATCAAAAAATAACTGGTACTATTAGAAATCGAACGTTGGAGTTCATACTCAGGGGAGGAACTGGGCACCTATGGACATGTCCGGAGTGCAATGATGATAGCGTGTTTAACTAATTCGTGGAGGTCAGAGAGATACATCATCATCTTGATCATCATCATTATAACTCATTTCGGTCGAAAAGTGCCATGTGAACTAGTAGTTTGAGACACAGTACACGTTGGCTGCCACTGGCTATTGTCATGCCGTGCTGGCATAAAGTGTGTTTCATACTGTCGATCCATATTGTGCGGCCTTCCTCTTGCTCTTATAACCTATCTTTTGAGATGTAGTGCATGTGATGGTATTTGATGTTGCTGCATTTTACTGAGTTAGCTAAAACACATGATCTAGTTAAAGATGTGGTTCCCACAATTTATCTGATAGTATCATTTTTCACTAGATCTCGTATGGTTAGGCTGACGACTTTTCTTAGTCATCTGATCTCGCAAGTGGTAAAACGCATACAAAACCTATACCAGTACTTGACATGGAATGGAGTCATACTTATAGACGTAACCACCCTGGCGAAATGCAACTCGCAAACCATTGATGAAATTTCATCATTTCATTTTTGAAAGTGTTTGGGTGTCACCACCGAGCCAAATCAACAACAGTTTGAGAACCCCTGGCCATCAAATTATATGGGCCAATTTACAGCTAGAACTAGTTTCAGGGAAAAGTGCCTTTTTTTACTGAATGACCTCAAACATTGCAGTCTGAAAGGAAATTGACCTTTTGTATCTGAAGCGCCATAGAATATAAGGAGTTCCCATGAATCTACCATTTCGCATATCAAAACAAGTGATAAAGTATTGCTAGTGTGATTGAACGTGTTTGATTAATGTGTTCTTCTTCTTCTTCTTTCTTCTTTGCGTTCTGTTTCGTATGTTCAGATCCATTGAATAGGTCGTCTCTATGAACTAGCGTGTCTGCTGCAGGTCCTTCATGATTCCCTATAGCTTGCTTTGCGCACTTTATTCTTCTTCGTCTTCTTCTTTTAATTACAAGAGTGGGTGCACTTTAGCGTACCTTCCTTGTGAAAACAGCACAAAACGTCTTGAATATACTGTTACCTCTTGCATTTGTTATTGTACTGATTTGTTACAGAACCACCTCTATTACGACATAAAGATTTGTGCAAGCGGGACATAAATGATACAGGTACTGAGGTGGACTCGTGGGAACAAAATGTCATGGACCGTGTTGTGTGGAGTGGGCACTCCAGGAAGGAATAAGAATGAAGAAAGAAATGATTGCAGAAAGGATGAGAGCTGAGCGTCTAAGAAGAAACAGATTAAACACAAATGTTGACAACAACGGTCCTGAAATCCCATGCTATAATTGTGGAAGACTTCTCTTAATGCGGTGGAGGGTTTGGGGGGGGGGGGGGGGGGGGGGGGGGGGGGGGGGTGGGGGGGGGTGGAGGGGGTTTATTAGTCACACTCGCCATCGCCATGGGCCTTGGGTCCCATGCCTCCTCATAGCATATTATAACACTTTCGCTTGGAAAAATGAAAAGGTTCTAATCCAATCAATCATGATCCAGCCTCACTATCGAAGACCTAAATACTCTGGTACGTATGGTACAGGTAAATGCATTTTTAGAACATCAAAGAATCAAATGGTTTGGTCCTCTGGTCTGAGTGAAACCACATCAGCCAGCAGCTATAGCGTACCACATGAGAACATCAGGGTCAACGGCGAGGTCGACTAAGAAAGAGATGGATGCAGGCAGTAAAAGAGACACTAAAGAAACGAAATATGACATGAACACTAGCTACGCAACTAGCCAACGCCAGGAAACTACATGTAACTCCCCTTTGTGACGCTTTGCGGCAAAAGAAGTCGGACAAAATGATAGAAAAAAGAAGCTTGTTACATGTTTTGATTGTTCCCTATAGTAAAGGTCTTTTTTTGACGACTTTTGGCGTATAGGGCATATAGGTCTAGATATTTTTATAGAGTAATCGGCACACGATGGGTAATGTGGTCAGCATCACACCGGTCGCCTTCACTTCCCAGGACTGTACCCGGTACTCACTTAAGGCTGGGTCGACGGGAGTCAGGGTCCTTTTTTGAAAAAAGTCCGGCTCCGCCAGGGAGAGAGCCCACGATCTTCCGATTCACACACGATTGTTATATATATATATACACACACACAACACAACACGCACATACATATATCTGTGTTTTTTTTAATTTAAAAAATATCTGTTCTAATAATAAATTTGTTGTTAAAATGTTCCCTTTATTTTACCCTCCACAGCGAATTGGTACCTAGTGTTCATCGCCTCCTTGACATTTTTTACATAATATGGATAAGACAACGGACCACTCTCTTCTGTTGCTTGTTTTGCCTAAATTCACATAAAAAAGAGGCAACTTATCTTATCTAGTGCATATTTGACCCAACTCCGGAATCAACTGGAGGCACAGTATCCTTTCCATGGAATATTTGACCGAACGCTGGAATTGACAACTGGTAAAGTATCCTTTCCACTGAAAATTTGACCTAATATTGGAAAAGACAACAGGCAAAATTGACCTAATGCTGGAATAAACAGCAAGTAACGAATACCTTCCAGCACATATTTGACCTAACTCTGGAATAGACAACAGGCAAAGTATCTTTTCCACTGAACATTTGACCTAACTCTGGAACAGACAACAGGCAAAGTATCTTTTCCACTGAACATTTGACCTAACTCTGGAACAGACAACATGCAAAGTATCTTTTCCACTGAACATTTGACCTAACTCTGGAACAGACAACAGGCAATGTATTCTTTTCCTCTGAACATTTGACCTAACTCTGGAATAAACTGCAGGCAAAGTATTCTTTTCCACTGAACATTTGACCTAACTCTGGAATAAACTGCAGGCAAAGTATTCTTTTCCTGCATATTTTAAATCATTATAGATAAGGCAACAAGCAACCAATAGATTCCACAACATATTTTGCCAACTCTAGATAACACAACATGCAAAAGCAGCGATTCGACAGGACATTTGTCCAAACGCTGGATGTGACTATAAACAAACGACCAACGTACAGTTAATCGCCAGTACAATCAACGATATCCTGTTCAACTCATCTGAGTTATAATTGGAAGATAATACATTTTTTTTTTAATTCGCTTCTGGAGAAACATCTTTTCAACCTACCCCATATTTATGTGGCCACTCTCAGTAACGAGTTTGAACACACATTCGCTGAATACAGTTTATCAATAGAGAAAAAGACAAAACTAATATATCAGAATCACTGAACTCAAAAAAAGGATAAACAGTCAACTAAAAGCTAATGGTTTTATTTCGCATTACTGTGTTCACAAACTTGTTTGACGATGCATTTGCTCTTACTTGGGGTCTCTCAAATGTTTGGATGATCCTACATTGAACGGCAGTAATTAAAAAAAAAAGAAAATTTGCAATAACAATAACATGACTTAACTAGTTTGTTTACTTGCCTGCCAATGCTGACACTGAGGCAATCGATTTTCACCAGGCCGGCTTGTTCAGCTCTGCAGCACTGCCGAATTAGTTGACGTGTCATGCCTTTAGAGTAAATATTTCCATCGAGGGTTAACGTTACCATTTGGGACTAAACTGATAGATGTCCAGGGGGTCAGATATCAGGGTAGCACAGTACTGGCCGTTAGTGGACACACTTTAACATCTGTTACATGAAGTAATTTTTAGAGTTTATATATAAATTCCAACAACAGCATTGCATTACAGACCTAACATTTACACCCTGTTTTTAATATCTAGACTGTGCATCCCCGATTGACACTTAGATCGGCCATGAAGTAAATTTTACATTCTATCATACTTCAATATCCTGTTAGAGAATTTCAGCGTTGCTATCACCACCACCGGAATTTTAGCTAATGTATGTATGCATGTAAATTGTACCCAACCAGGACATCACACAAGCGATAAAAACCCAGTGACACAAAGCGCCACCATGAGGGTGAGCATCATCCGGGGAGAGGTTCCGGAAACCCCGTTTAGCGGTTAGGTTATATTCAAAGCCAGGCTATATTTAGTGCCCCCCGGCAAAAGTCAAGATAGGGCTTCAAAATAAGTAATAACTGCATCCTACGTAGGTACGACAAGGTTTCATTTCAGCAAGGTTGGGTCAACATGGAAGCCAAAGTCATGTTTGAGGAAGAATGAAAATCCCGCTTCGTTCGCATTTAAACTAATTAATCAAGTAACAGAAAGTATTCAGTGAACTCAATCTTTTTAAAGTAAAGACCTTCAGGTCCCTAGGCGAGTCTAACCGCTACAGCACAACGGCTCCATCAGGTGATGAATTTTAGCCAATTTTATTTCTTCGCGGCTTTCACTTTCATCTGTCTCACCACTTCAAACGTATGTAAATTATCTCCCTTCATTTACATTGTCGTCGTCTCAAATTTCATTAATCTTATTTCAGAAACGGTAATTCACTTTACTTAAGTGCACCTCAACACAACAGCCTCACGACTAGCTGATTGCCCAGCGGGTTTGTGATCGAATCATCACCCAACCGGCGATATTTATAATTAGTCTGGCCTCCTACTTTGATGGAGTTTATAAAGGGTGTAAGCAAATTTTAAGGAAAGTAAATGGGGCTAATGAAATAATTACCATTTTATTCATACATAAACACATGATCAAATCATCACATAGCTGGCAATATTGATAACTGGTCTGGACTCCTACTTTGATAGAGTTTATAATGGGTAAAAGGAAATTTTAAGAAAAGTAAATCGGGCCTATGTAATAGTTACCATATTATTCATAAAAAAACACACTTCACCGTAATAACATTAGGTGAACAATTTACCCAGGGACAATGACACAAAAATGCTGGAAGAAAGTGGCAGCGTTATCCTGGGCCTTTCTCGAGTGCATGTTTTTCTCGTCAGTTGTCCTGGGTTGGACTTGGCTGGCGATCATCCTCCGCAGCGACGGCTACTTCCCCAAGTACTGCAACTTGACCGTCAACTTCACACCCCGTGCCAGAATATATGGAAACGACGCAAGTATGAACGGTGTCTATAAACTGGACAGTGACATACCGCTGCCCGTTCCAAAAAAGACGAAAAATTGTCGCCCACGCAGGAGAAATGATAGATCCACACAAATACGAGAAGCTTCTACGATGTATGCAGTTTCTCCTTGGGAGTCCGGTTCTGCGACAGGAGGTATGCCTTTGAAATACGGAGCAAGTCCACACTGGAATGGCTCGAGTTTGGTCAGAAACGTCTTTGTTGAGGCGGATTGGGTATACAGAGCTGGAAAACAGACTCCACAAAGGTTAGTTTGTATGTTTTGTTTCTCTAAAACATTTTGATAATAAATGATCAATAAAAGCCGAGGACATTATTTTAGGACACATTTCTCACCTTAAAGTCACCTCCATGTGTGATGCAATTTTTTGTGTGTTATACGAAGCCCCACCCTGGCTTCTGCCGGAGCCCCTGAATATAGCCGGGGCATGAACATGGCCATACATGTGTCCATAACGGCTGGAAAAGGTTTCTGTGACCTCTCCACGGGTGACCATCATCAGCATGGTGACACTTTGAGTTACCGGGTGTTTGTGTGATGTCCTGCTGGGGTACAACTACCTACCTTTTAGGACACGTACAGATATTTAGGTATCTAGGCACACGGATAACGTCTGACGGAAAATGTTATCACCTATATAATTAACTGAATAGTACGGGCTATAAACTGAAGAACATCTCGAGCAATAAATCATTGTCCCTGGTGTTAAAAGAAATATTCTTATGCTACATAGAGCCAGTTTTAACGTACAGCTGTGGAAATGTGGTTTTACAAAAAAATCTGTATAATTCCTTGTAAAGCCACAAAGAGCAACCAAGTTGTTTTGAAAAGGTGATGTCTGGAAGACAACTAAATTTTACTAGGAAACAACCAATGGAATGGTTCGGTCATTTAGCTTGGCTGACAGCAGACAGTGTATCACACCGAACAATGCTCTATAAACAAAGTAGAGAGAAAAATAAACAAAAAACCAACCATTCAAACAATAAACAGAAGAAATAACAGAGTCCTTGGAAAGCTTCCTACGCGAAGCACACAGGCGGGAACTAGTCAGCTTCATAAAATCACAGTTACCGCAAACGAGAGAAAAGAACGCTTAGAAATCCTTTATCTACATAGATAAAACGGACAATGTTACAATTTTTTAAAATGCATAAAACCACTTATTTTTAAAGTGATTCTTATCAGAAACTCCATAAATAATTGATCAGTGAAAGCTCGGTGTCACCTGTCTCGCTGGATCTCATACTTTACAGCACGTGAACCTTACAATATATGTGGGAAAGTTGTTGTTGTTTGTTCTTTGCGTTCACCGGCTATAAACTCCGGTGTAAAGACCTGGCTGTTCGTTCATTTCTGGACTTTCGATTTGTTCCAGGACCTGAGATTTGCGTGTGCATCTGTTTTACAGGTATGACCTATTTGTGTGCAGATTGATGGTTCCTTGCGTCTCAGGCAGATGCACTCCGACTTCAAAGAAAGCAACACCCCCGCCCCGCACCCTCAGCTAGTCGACTCTTACGACATGCATCTTCGAGAGGCATGGGTCTATTCTTGTTTTCCTCACAGTGGGGCCACAGAGCCTACACGGGGGTGTTATAAAGTGGAGGGTTACACCACGACATAATACAAAATGTTTACATAAACCTGTGTTAGACATTAAGGCCCTTAGGAGAACATGAACATAATAGACAGATAATACGATTCTGAAGATCATTTAGTCATTAATTCCAATAGATAGTCGTGAAAACTGTGAGCTCGATGTAATAGTTACAGTTGTTCTGGTGCTTTAATAATATCCTACCCCAAACAGAGGAAATCCACAGGTCATGGGACAGTCTAATATATCAGGGGGTGATAGATAGGCTGCATCTAGTCGTGGGACCTAAGCTGCATTCTTCCATGGGACGTTTTTGGGCTTTAGTTAGGGGAAGTTCTAAATGTTTTGGGGTCGTTAAAAGCATTAGAAAGCCAGTCTCACTACCCTCTAAAACGTCGGACTGTTCTGTGACGTCATCTTGGGTAGGATATTAATAAAGCACAATTTTTCTTTCGTAAATAGATTCTTCTTTTTGCAGATTCAAACGAGGAGATCTGGCGAACCTGTCAGTGATTATGCCACCCTTACAGGCAGGTCCCGGGGTCGCTAGAGGCATTGACCAGTCAAGTCCGACAGCTGCTAAAGACAAGGAAGTGGACAGCGGGATGGCCAGAGAGTATTGTCTGGAACAGAACGAGCAGCTGCGATTGATGTTTGCCGTGGTCATCATTATTCGGGACGTGCTGGCCTTTCCGCTGGGCATCTTCTATGATAAATATGGCACTACGCGGACACGGCTTATGACTGTGTAGGTATTTGTGTGTGTGTGTGTGTGTATATCTGCGTGGTTGTGTTTCTGTATCTATTATTCTTAGTCTGTGTACGATCATTGTGCGTGTTTATATGTATGTATGTATATATATATATGTCCATGAGTCTCAGCTAGTGTCGAAATATTGTTTCTGTTTGTGTGGCTATGATTCTGATTGTGTGACGCAGTAATATGTCTGTTGGTGTAAATTATTCTGAGCTTGTTTTTTAGTACTGTCAATGTGTGTGTATGTATGAATGTGCGGTTGTATGTGTATATGTATGTGTCTTTGTGTGTCTATAAGTATGAGCGTGTGTACAAGCCTTGTCTATGTGTATGTATCTGAGTGTATCTGACATTATGTCCGAGTACTGTTTATGAGTGCGTTGGTCTATCTATGATTTTTAGTGTGAGCATTGTGTATGTGTGTAGTTGTCAATAATTCCCAGCTTGTGTCAGAGCAGTGTGTATGTGTAGATGTATTTGTGTGAATAGGATGCTGCGTGTGTGTGTGCTCGAGTACTGAGTATATGTTTGAGTGTCTGAGAGTGTGTAGGCGTTTGAGTGTCTACGAAGATGAGTGTGCGTCAGAGTATTGTGTAGGTTTGTGATAGTGTGTCTATGATGATGAGTTTGTTGACGATATTTGTATGTTTGTATACTTTGTGTGTGTTTGTCTGTTTGTATGTAACCACGTACACAGAAACACGAAGACTTAGGCAGTTGACTAACTAAAGATGATGTGCCCCCCACACCCCACCCCCTCCCCTACTCTAGATGTAGTGTATCTGTCCAAGAGCTAAGGAACCAACAGTCTGCATATATAAATTAGTCAGATTTTTGAAGAAAAAAAAACAGTCTTATTAGTTGACTTCTACGACATGCTTGTTAGATAGCAGTAGGGGGTCTATTACTCGCCGCTACCAAATACAAACCCCAGAACCTACACGGTGGTGATATAGACATGATAAACCAGGCTTTGATCAAATGAAGAAGGTTGCTAACTGCTCAATGTCTTGGGCTGCTATCAACATCTTGATGGTGAAACCGTTACATATCCGTTTCATATCTTCTTTCTAAAGTCCATGCCGTATGGTGTTGGTACTCATGTCTTTATCCACAATCTTCTGTCTCGTTTACTTTCAATCAACTCTTGCCACAGATGATCGTCCATGTCATGATGTCAAACTGTCCAGCATCTGTTCTCTCGGTCTCCCTCTGTCTCTCTCCCCTCCAAGATTCCTACTGCCACGATGTACTCCAGTTTTCTCCTTCTCATTATATGAACAAAGAATGTAGATTGTCTCTTTCTGATGTTGGCAATCAGTTCTCTTCGTGAGTCAGTTTCTTTCAAGAAATGTGTATTTACTCGTTTTATCTGTACAGGGCATTCTCATCATTCTAATATAAAACCAGATCTCCGCAGCTTCTAAATATATTTTCACTAATTTACCAACTGTCCATGATTAACGTCCGTATATCAAGATATGATGTATATACCTTTTAAGAATTCTCTTTTTCGTCTCAATTGGCAAAGAAAGGTTGCACAAAATATTCTTCATTTCGTAAAATGCTGCCTTTGTTTGAATAACATTTAACTTCTTTAATACATCTTCCATCTGATGTAATCAGGGTTCACAAGTACTTGAACATATCAACTTGCTTGAGGTTTGTCCTATTTACTTCGATGTTGAATTTCGGAGGGTGTAGTTACCCTTACTTCTATTTTTCTGCTGTTCAAAGTAAAATCCTTGCTTTCACTTTTCGTTACAATTATATCCACTATTTCTTGCAGTTGTGTTTCATTTTTAGCGATCAAAACTATATCGTCAGCTGAACGCATGTTGTTAACAATATGCCCTACAGAGATCTTCCCGGCATACCATATATGGACCTAATTATTATTTCACTGTACACATAAGTAAAGTAAAGATCCCTTTTCACGCCTTTCGGCGCATCGGGCATATGGGCAGAGCGTCCCATATTTTTACAGACCATCAGCACTCTGTGGGTAATGTGGTCAACATTACGCCGGCTGTCTTTACCTCACTGATAATATCGTGAGATGTTGAATAGGGTATCTCAGATCTGCAATGTTATCCAGAATGAGATTCTCTATGTCTCATGGGTGATCACACCTTGAATGTTTGTGCTTTGTTCGAAAACAAATCGTCACGTTTAACCAGCATCCCCAAAGAAGGGAGCTTTAGGTTATAATTGTGACTTGGTTTTGTGCGCTATGTAAATGTCTTAGCATTGCATGCCATCAAGAGCCATACAAACGACCCCCATCAGTGTTGTTGCGATCAAAGAGGAAGGACCCAAATACTGTCCTGACCCCCGACCCAGTCGTCTACCGGCAAGCCAATAAGCGACCCAATCACTGATTATATAGACATGATAACCAGGCGTAGACTATAAGAAGAATGTTGCTAACTGCCTATGTACTGCTACATGGAAAGCCGGACACCCTGAGATTTCACAGTCTGGGTCTGGATGTCCAACCAGCAAGGCAAATCTAAAATGTCTTGTTCAACCTCTGAAGAATTCATAAAAATTGGGCCACACGTGTGGAGCATAGTAAAATAAGGGAACAAACAGTCATGACCAGGTAATATCTAGCAACCAGGAGGGGTTAAACAAGCGCTTCTGCTTCTTCTTCACTTCCACTTGTACATTTTCAGGTGTTGCAGAAAAAAATAAAGTTCTGCTTCATGCTCTTTTGGTCGCCTAGACATTAGACAGTTCATTCTGTTGTGGAGATTCTCTGATGTTATCTTTCGGTCTTGTTTTTGATCTACCCCTCGCTCTCCGCCGTTTCTTGTCCAGTTTTAGTGTACATCTAGCATTAAATGCCGTCGTACGGCATTCTATTTCTCTCTAAGTGGGTAAACGATTTGATACTCGTCTTTGTACGCAATTGAGAACTGGTTCTGTGCCGACTTTTTCTCTTATGTGCAGTGTAAACAGTGTATAACTGATTGCAGTTCAGCTCAACCAGGACCCAGGCAGCGCCATAAACATCCGGTGACACAAATTACCACCATTCGGATGAGAATCACCCATGCACAAGTCCCAGAGACCCCGTTCAATTGTTCGGTTATATTAGGACCCCTTGAGACAGCGGGGGTGTGGCTTCTCAATAACCCAAAATGTCTTCCTATCCTGGGATAGAGATTTTACTAAGAGAGTTACAAATACCCTGTAGGTAGGTAAGTTGTACCCACCAAGATTACACACAAGCGATGAACGGTGCTTCCGGGAAAAATGGACGCCAGGCGCGGTTACTGTTTCGCGTCGAGGCAAATTTTGTGCTTCTGCCACACGGTGGCCATTGCATTTTTGATCCATTTGTAGACTGAAATGATTCAGTTTGGTCGCGCCAGCTACTGAGTTGAGTGCATGGCGCGACCCTATGAGCTGCGGATTTCGTTTAGAATGTTTTTCGACTGTGACCAACGTGGTGTTGTGAACTGTAGATTCATAAAATGACACGTCTTCTGTCGCCGCAATATTGGTGGTGCCCTTATGTGATTAATATTGATCGCGTGTGCAACTGCTGATCTGTTGGAGACTTCTAATACCGTCGATGATGAACTGCATTTCTAATGTCAAACTGTTTGTGTTAGCACTTCTGATGGCTACCGTATGCTTTCAATGCGTGTGTATGCTAGTGCATATGCTGAGACATATGATATAACCGCGAAATCGCCGTATAATAATATGAGCTGTAAACATTAAATCACTATGTTTTTACACAGTTTGACCTTTGCCCTGGGAACTCTCATGATGACCTTCACAAGTGTCAGCGTCCCCTGGCTGGTGGTGCCGGCCTTAACCTTAACCGGCGTTGCCGGAAGTGCCGTGTTGCTGACCAATCTGCAGACGGCGAATCTGTTTGGCCGGAAACGCCATGTGGTCGTGTCCCTTTATGTGGGAGCAGCGTATTCAAATGGCGTCATTGCGCTTCTCATGCAGGTAAGTGGAGTCTTCTGTTGGTTGTCTGTGTTACACATTGAAGTGCAATTCTTTTATAGGAACTACTCACGTTTTCGGGCTCCGCGACACCGTGATCGACCGTTCATTGATTCGTCTTAACCTTTCACACTCTCTCACAGGGGTGTAAGATTAAAATGCACTCTTTCGTGGGATCTGCGCTGAGGCTTTCTTCTAGGGAGTTGGAGTTAGAGCCTGTTGTGGATGTTATGGGGTCTTTAAAAGTGGCAGTAACACTGTGTAGTATGGAACGCGGGATATCGCCGTTGGTAGTGTAGGGGACTATGCAACCTGACACCCCTATAAGAAACAGTCGTGGATGTGAAAGGTTAAAACGCATTATTAAACAGCCCCCCCCCCCCAACCCCCTTTTCCGCCCACACCACAAAAAGACCCGGAGCCTCCACAGGGGCGGAAATAGTACGAAATTACCACAGTGGAAGAGATTTCTGCCCCGCGAATAGTATTACTGTAATTAGCAATGGATAGTTTGCAGCCAAGTTCCCATTGTGGAGACGGCACAACACTTCCTACTTTCCTTTTGTTACTTTCACTGTACACTGACCCTGTCTCCAAAAATCGGCTACATCTTTCACTTAGGCCCAGGAAATAAGGAAAAACATTTCCCCGTTGGAACCTTCAGAAATCCCAAGCTTAGACTAATGGACCTTTCAGCCTAGGTAGTTTACAGTCTATCAGATGTGAAGAAACAGAGCCCTGTTACACCATGTATCACACATGGCAGATGGTGCTAGACACATTATTTTCCGACCAGCTGGCGATCGAAGAGGGGACGGGGTCAATATCATGCCGACCGCCTTTACTTTCAAGGACATTCATTACCTGCTACCTATTTTGAGCTAGGATTCAAGGTCGTTATACAAAAAATGCAAATCGGTTATAGCTCGTTCACACATTTGTGCCAATGTTCGAAACAATATACCTCAGCTGTATTTAAATGTAAATGGATGAAATCTTATATTGATATTTACTTCATTCCTAACCTTGTGTCAGAATTGTCTACTTCATAAAAAGTAATTAGAATGCAGTATTTGAGCTATATAAATATACAATAATCCTTGCTGGGTCACCTTTTAAGAGTTATACCGCACAAACTGCAAATAATGAAAGAAATTAAAAAAAAACTTGTTCCTGTGTTTTACTTAAATTCTGATAAGGCCATAACCGCTGTAGTTGTAAAAGTGTAACTTATATGGTTAGTTCCTGCGTTATCAAAATGGTGGTCGGTTCAGGTCCTATCGGAGCTAGACTTTAAAAAAAAAATGACATCGGCTGGGTCAAGCCGACCCAGCTTCAAGTGGGTACCATGTATAATCATAGGAAGGAAAGGCAGTCGGCGTGATGTTGACTATATCACCCATCGCGTTCCCATTGCTCAATAAAATATAGTTCTTGCTATGTATGCGAAATACGTCTTAAGAAATGAGAAGGGTCCTTTACTTTGCTCCTATTTATTATTTGTATTGTGTTCGTCATCATTATCATCATCATCACTAGATTTTACTGTAGAAAAACACATTAAAATAAGTATTCAATGAAACTAATTTAAAAACCATTTTTGTCTACGAACTGTGTTTGATAGCACTGGTTTGTTACGCCCAAACATTTTAGAAATATTGTCCTGGTGAATTCGGTTTCCCCAACCACCATTGCTGCACAATTTAATTTCTTGGAAACTCATCAGATTCATCATCAATCGGTTCTGTCTATGCCTAGTGGCAGATGAGGCTTCAGCTGTCATCAGATTCATCATCAGTTGGTTCTGTTTATACCTAGTGGCAGATGAGGCTTCAGCTGTCATCAGATTCATCATCAATCGGTTCTGTTTATGCCTAGTGGCAGATGAGGCTTCAGACAGGACTTTCCCTGTTTTCCTGTCCTGTGCAATCTTTAGTGCAGTTTTCCATGTCAGAAATGCAGCACTCAGTTCACTTTCTATTGTTCGTCTCCATGTTTTTTTTTTTTTTTTATTCCCTTTTTTTCTCTCTTTCCCTCTGGTGTCCAAGTGAGAGCTGAAAGATTGACATGTCTTAATCTCTCCAGGATATTTCGGAGACATTTAGAAGAATTAGCAGATAAAAAGTTATCCGCCCTTTCTCTCTGTCGACATCACACAACCTAAAAATGATGGCGATCTACGAAGCATAGAAAATGGTTTCTAACGTAACGTCTCAATTTTTCATCTTGAATAGAGGAATGACATGTTTAACAGTCCATGAATTTGAATGGAAGTGTGGCTTCAATAGGATTCGACATATGTCATGTCAGATCTGAAGTTTTCAATACACTATTTTTGCTTGAAAAATCAACATTGACATCTTATGATATTTTGTATTGAAATGGAAGCGCTTTCTAATCTGATTTGATATAAGATGTGAGTTAAGTTGAGTTGAGAACTTGCATCAGAATATTCTTCTTTTTCTTCTTCACCGTTGGTCCGAGTGACGTAACTGCATTGTGCATGAGTACAGCATAGCTGCGATATTCGCGCCTTTAGGTAAACACATCCGACTTCCTAGAGCATTTATTCACCTTGTTATCCTTCCCGATTGGATTCATGGAACATAACGCAGCCGTGTCTATGTCCAGAATCCTCTTTGTAGTACAAATCCTGGGCAGTTTTGTAAAGGCAATGTGTTGCTCATGTATTATGATCCCCTTTCAACCTGCCTTGTTTACTCTAAAGAAAAGGTAACACCAAACCGCTTAAAACAATGCATGAACTGAAGCTCCCGGCTCAGTAGAGCAACGTGCAACCGGACCTTCCCTTTAAGATCAGTCGCTGCCAGGCTGACAGGTAAACATAATGGCATCCAGTGCATACAGAATCAAGTCTGCAAGACTGAGTGACCCGAGAGCCTCCACATGAAATGAAATGCCAGTGGAAATGATTTGTGATGTTTACAGTTCCATCCTTGCGCGTTATCAGCGTATTCTGAAATCGGGCGGTGGTCAGTTCAAACAGCGAATATAAATCTAAATATTTGCAGTCTGTCTGCTGTAGTTGTAATGTTTGTAACAGAAATGAATGAATCAACGGGCGGATGCATCAAGGAGTGAAAACATGAATGAACGAATTTAAAGATAAAAAAGGTGAATGGGTGAGCGAATACAGGCGTTGATACACGATGAATGAGAAGCTGAGTGAATTAATATGTAGCTGGATGTAGCTGGGTGAGTTATCAGTGAGTATCAGTGAGTAAATAAATTGTTGGATGAACAAATCAACGTAATGACGAATGAATAAATGAATCATTGAGAAGCTGGATAAAAGAATGAAAGAATGAATGAATAAATGAATAGAATGATGGTGAATTAATGGATGGGTTGAATGGGTAGAAAGGATTCGAAAATCGCACTTAACCTCCGTAACCTGGAGATACACATATCGGTTTTGTGGGCGTAAAGGGAAATGAGTGAGCGGACCAACTGGCAAGCACTGCACTAAGGATTGCAGGTAAAAGCATGGACAGAGCAGATATCGTCAACGCTGTACGAAATGGGCTAGTGGATAATAAGGAATCCCTGACACTAACACAGCTGCGTGACATTGTAGTAAAGCATGGTGAATCACGTCTTTGCCGTCTTCAAAGCCGAGATAGGAAACAATATTACCATCTTCTCATGAGAACAATTAGTAGAAGTACTTTGGAGTAGCTGCTGCATCGGAGGACTGAGCATGTATGGGAATGCCCAATGTGCAGTGACGTAGATTGTAATAGCATGACATAACATAACATCATGTAGGGAGTCGCCAGTCCAAAGCCCAAATTCAAGGTGTCTCCTTCGTGCCAAAGAACTGCATGGCTGTTGGGTGAATAGTCGTTAACGAAGGCAGTCAGGTCGTTGTAGGGGCGACGCTTGCTGGTGGGTGTAAACTCCTTTCTCCAGCTAATAGTGAGGAAGCTGCTAGGGTGACCGTTTATCAACCCTCACATAATGCTTCAGGTCAAATTTTTTTTGCTTCTGCCAGACGGTGGCCGTTGCATTTTTGATCCATTTGTAGACTGGAAGGATATAGTTTCGTTCCCCAGCTTTGAGTTGAGTGAATGGTGTGACACTGTGAACTGCGGATTTTATTTGAACTGTGATAAACATTTTGTGTGTTTTTCGTTGGCACGGGAGCGGAGCAACTATGGAGTGATCCGTTTGCCATGAAGCTGAGACTAAGATTACCAGATTACCAGTTTAGATGGACGGGTTGGTGGATGAATAATTATTGGGGTGAACGAATGAGTAAACGAAATAATACATTATTGAGCAAATGAATGGCTAAATTAACAAAAAAAAAAATAAATGAATGAAGGAATGAATGAAAGAATGAAAGAATGAAAGAATGCATTAGGGGATGACTGAAAAGCTGGATAAATGACAGAATGATAGGGGTATGGGTTGATTAATGAATAAATAATTGGTCGCACGAATTAGTAAACGAAACAATACATTGATAAACAAATGAATGGTTAAATGAATGAAACAAAGTAATAATGTACAAATAAACGCAAGATGAAAGCCAACAAGCTCAACAGGGAGACAAATACATCCTAAATAATATTTTGAGCTGAAAACTAGATATCCACTAATATTTTGAGCTAAAAACGGGACCACCTACTAATATTTTTAGCTGGAAACGGGACACCCCACTAATATTTTGAGCTGAAAACAGGACATCCTACTAATATTTTGAGCTACAAACGGATCATCCCACTAATATTTTGAGCTGAAAACGGGACATCCCACAAATATTTACATATTTACAGCCGAAAACAAGACATCCCACTAAAATTTTGAGCTGAAAACGGGACATTTCAAGCAAGTCAGCTCCCGCGCTCCCCCCCCCCCCTACCCCCCCCCCCCCAGCCTCCTTTTCCCCTCAATTTGGCTCCCACACCCCAACCTTTTAAAGAACACCTACGCATACATTTTACTATAAAAGCGCTTTTAGGCGGTATCCTTGCTCAGAAAAAAAGACAACAATTCTAACGTCCTATTTTTACAATTAGTCATCAACGCATTTAAGGCATTACAAGTATCTTTTTAAACAGGTTTTGAACAACAGATCAACTTCAAGGCACACAGCTAGTAACCCACAGGTCAAGTCTGAGTCCGAAGAAGCTCAGACAGTGCATAGGCTCTGTAGCGCCGGCGAGGATCATGAAATACTTACGGTAGATTTTTAAATCCAAATTTTCCTTGGGTAGCGCCGTAAGGCTACTTTTTTCGATTTCCAACTGCCAAGTGATTTTTTACGTGTGCAACAATGCACACGGGCGTCCAGTCTCACTACCAAGAGACAAGGGGGAATTACTATAAGTCCAAGTCCACGTGAAAAAAATGTCAACCCTTAACGGGGATTGAACCCGGAACCTCTAGCACTTGAGGCGGACACCATGCCTCGAGACCATGCAGTGTCTAATACTGTGAAATTTAGTAATGTCAACAGATATAAGTATAAGTGCATATTCAGTTCTTGAGCTTATTTCTTCGTTTTTAGAAAACGGGACAATTGGGGAAAAATGAAACCTAGACTGTCCTGGCAAAAACGGCATGCGTGGTCACCCTATGATTAGGTATTCATTAATGCACAAGTGGACAGCAACGCTTACCAGGCAACTATGCCAAGAAGATCAATGAGATAACAATTGCTTCTAGAGCACTAGCATAGGCAGCTGAGCAAACGTGCACATATGCAATAATTGTATCAGACTTCATGAACATGCTTCAGAAGATAGCAACAGGTGTTATGCGCTTTGAATGGGTAGAAAGCATTCGAAAATCGCACTTAACTTCCCTCACCTGGATCTACACACCAGGCAATAAGGGCGTAAAGGAAAATGAGCGAGCGGACCTATCCAATACACCAGGGCGCGAAGGAAGAAGCATTGACAGAGCAGATATCATCAATACTGCATGGACTGAACTATTTGGTAAGAAAGATAATCTGACAATAAAATGATTACGTGACATGAGAGTAAAGCATACTGAAGCACGTCTGTACCACTTCGAGACCGAGAGAGGAGACATTATAACTAACTTCTCATGGGAACAATTAGTAGAAATACCTCGGAGTAGCTGCTACATCAGAGGACTGAGCCCGCTAGGGACTACCCAATATACAATGACGTCGACTGCGATAAGATAACCTAAGATAACATTCATAAACATCACCATTTTAACACTTTCAGCTGTCGCATTTCAACGGAGTCGATATTCAGACATCATTCATGTTTCTGACCATCGGAATTGTACCGATGCTTGTCTCCACTGTAGCATTCCTGCCAAAAACAAGGATACCCTGGCCCCTCCCAGCAGACTACGGCAAGAGAAGGAACCAATCCTTAGACGAGGCCATGCTACGCAAGCAGAGAGCATGGCAAAGAAGATTGTCAGGTTAGTTTTCAATATTTATTCAGTTTCTCAAGTCATTTATTATTATATTTGTTGTTGTTGTTGTTGTTGTTGTTTATTTGACTAACAAAACGGTAGCAGAAAGCATGCTACCAAGAAGGAGGGACAGGGACCGACCAGCACGAAGATGGGCATAGGATATAAGTTAGTTAGTTAGTTAGTTAGTTAGTTAGTTGGGTTATCCTCATTGCACTCCGGACATGTCCATAGGTGCTCAGATCCTCCCCTCAGTATGAACCCCAACGTCCGATGGCTAATAGTACCAGTTCTATGTTGATTAACAAGTCTTCTGGCGTACCTGGTGTGCGTCTCGTTTTTTGCTGTGCCGATCTTAATTCCCAAGTCTGCCATTCTGGCGAGTGATGAGGATTCACTGCCACCAAAGTCGTCTATCCTTCCCATTTCTCTGAGGGCATTGATAATATCAGCATGATCCATAGGCTGACCGTCGGTAGTGATAGCGGATCCAGCCAACCAGTCAGCTCTTTCATTTCCATCGACGCCTGCGTATCCCGGAACAAAAATAAAGGTGACTCCACGGACAGTGGACTTCTGTAATGATTCAAGCCATTGTCTTCACACTGAACCTGCCTGAACCCTCCGGATCATACTCATTGAATCACTGAGTATACACACGCGGGTGTATTTTTGTGTTTCAAGCCAGGCAAGTGCTTGTGTCACTGCCATCACCTCCATCGTCATGCTGCTGGTTGTCATGGAGAAGGCGCCGTTGGCTTCTTTGACTGTTCTGCCCGCTGAGCGTGCTGTAAATGCCCATGCGCTTCTTCTTTGGCGTATAACGGATCCGTCTGTATAGATTATTGCATCTGCTTCGTCTGAATTTTCACCGATGAGAGCGTTGACCTCTGCATTAACAGCAACAGGATTCTCTTCTCTACATCGCCTGTTGAGTGTGACAATACAGGAAAATGTACAAATAAACGCCTGAGGCACAGGTATCCATTCTGCACCAGGTATGATGTCGGTTAGGCTGCATATTTGCCTAATAACATCTTCTGCCCGACCTAGCCACGATTTCCCCCTCTTCAGTCTGTCTCCCTTTTCACTAAAAAGCGCTTGATGCAGTGGGTGTTTCTTATCAGCACATATTTTGAGATATGCCCGAGCCCTCCACATCCTGATCCTTTGGTTCATTGTTGGAAAGTCAAGTAGATACCTCATTGCTCCACAGGATGTGTCTCTAGTACATCCCAAAATAATGCGCATGGCTTCATTTTGCACCTTTTCGAGTCGTTCAATCTGGGTAGCACTGACAGTGAGCATGGCCAGAGCGTATTCAATGGGGGAAAGGACCAGACCGTAGAATAGAAGTATTATTAGTATAGGATATAAGTGACTCCTTGGATATGAAAGTACGGGAGGTTGGAGAGCTGGCGAGAGTCGGGGTTTCTTTCAAGCAGACCGTGATGAGAGCTACATTCTGAAAAGGACCTGTTACATAATGATGACATTTGACGAATACCTTTAGTCTGAAACTAACAAAGCAGACAGAAAGAGGGATGTGTTACAAGGGAAAGATGTCGGCTTCTGTATAATGCTCAGGATGTGTGCTCTCAACAATGTCATCAATATAAGTCTATATAGGTCACGAAATTAACAATTGTCCTAAAATCAACAATCGTTACGAAATTGTAACAATGGTCACTATTTCTCAATCACTTCTTTATTGAAGATTATTCTGAACTTTGTTTTGCTAGTCCCCCTCGCCATCGCCATTGGATGTGATTTGCGAAACAATCTTTGGTAATTTTTTTTAAGGCAACGATTACCAGGTTGTAAATGGGGAAAAAAAACCGTTCTGCGGTAGGCGATTTTCAGAAACGCACATCTTTTAGCTCAAAACTACTCATCTTTGTCGAAGGGAGAATCACCAAAAAAGACACTGAAATGAGAAATAGAGGAATCGAGGAAACAATGTCATCCAAAAGTGAATGTTGTTAGAAGAAACCCAATGTGCTGGACCAGATTCCATACTTGAAATTGAAGTAATTTTACGCTCTAGTTTATTTGTTTTATTGCTTTATTTGATTCCGTTCTCTAATGTATAATATCTACAATACTAAAGTCCTTGGTGACGGCGGAGAAGTTGTAGGGAAATGAGACAGAGGGAGACCAAGAGAGAGGTTGTGGGATAGCTTGCTATCATGGCTTTGAATACGGTCTGTGTCAGAATTACCTGAAAGCACACGGTACAGAAGATTTATGTGATCACCTTGAGAGTGTCATAGAGAAAACTTAAAAGCTTGACATATTGATTGTCTTAGAAAATTTCAATGCAAAAATAGAAAGTTAAACTACCTATACAAACGTAGCAAGCTTGGAAAGCCCACATACTTATTCAAACGATATTGGATGGGAAATAATCAACCTCACAGTAGCTAAATGACTACAGATAAGCAGCACTAGAGTTAGGAGAAAAGATATACATAAACATACCTGGCAGTTATGTGAAAAGATAACGTATAATTAAATAGATCACATTTTAGAAAATGACAAAAATGCGTAGAAAATACAGGTTAGAAGCTACAGAGGCGCTGAGTGCCATAGTGATCACTAGCTGGTTAGTGAAACATTAAATATCAAGAGACACTTCTAATCAAGTTGCAAAGATCACATTCGGAGTACAAAAGAAAAAGATCACATCCAGAGTAAACAGAATAAGATCAATTTCAGAGAGCAACAAAGATCATATTCAGAGTATAACAGAGAAAGATCACATCTGGAGTACAACAGAGAAAGTTTACATCCAGAGTAAACAGAAGAAGACCAATTTTAGAGTGCAACAGAAAGATCATATTCAGAGTACAACAAAGAAAGATCACATCTGGAGTACAAAAGAGAAAGATTACATCCGTAGTACAACAGAGAAATATCACATTCAGAGTACAACAGAGGAAGATCACATCCAGAGTGTAACAGAGAAAGATAACATTTATAGTTCAATAGAGAAAGATAATATTCAGAGTACAACAGAGAAAGGTCATATTCAGAGTACAACAGATAAGGATCACATTCAGAGTACAACAGAAAAAGATCACATCCAGAGTACAATAGAGAAAGATCACATTCAGAGTGCAACAGAGAAAGATTATATTCAGAGTACAACAGAGAAAAATCATATTCAGACTACAACAGAGAAGGATCACATTCAGAGTACAACAGAAAAAGATCACATACAGAGTACAATAGAGAAAGATCCCATTCAGAGTGCAACAGAGAAAGATCATATTCAGAGTACAACAGAGAAAGATCATTTTCATATACAACAGAGAAAGATCATATTCAGAGTACAACAGAGAAAGACCATCCAGAGTACAAAAGAGAAAGATCACATTAAGAGTGCAACAGAGAAAGATATTATTCAGAGTACGACAGAGAATGATAATTTTCAGAGTAAAACAGAGAAAGATCATATTTAGAGTACAACATAGAAAGATCATCCAGAGTACAACAGAAAGATCATATTCAAAGTGCAACAGAGAAAGATCACATCAGAGTACAACAGGGAAAGATCACATTCAGAGTACGACAGAGAAAAATCTTATGCAGAGTACGAAAGAGAAAGATCATATTTAGAGTGCAACAAAGAAAGATCATATTCAGAATATGACAGAGAAAGATCATCCAGAGTTCGACAGAGAAAGATCATATTCAGAGTACTACAAAGAAAGATCATATTCAGAGAACGACAGAGAAAAATCATATTCAGAGTACAGCAGAGAAAGATCATATTCTGAGTACGAAAGAGAAAGATCATATTTAGAGTGCAAAAGAGAAAGATCATATTCAGAGTACGACATAGAAAGATCATCCAGAGTACAACAGAGAAAGATCACATTCAGAGTACAACAGAGAAAGTTCACATCAGAGAACTACAGAGAAAGATCACATTCAGAGTACAACAGAGAAAGATCACATCAGAGTGCAACAGATAAAGATCACATTCAGAGTACAACAGAGAAAGATCACATCAGAGTACAACAGGGACAGATCACATCAGAGTGCAACCGAGAAAGATCACATTCAGAGTACAACAGAGAAAGATCACATCAGAGTACAACAGAGAATGATCAATTTCAGAGTACAACACAGAAAGATCACATTCAGAGTACAACACAGAAAGATCACATTCAGAGTACAACAGGGAAAGATGAAGGAAGCATCCAGATCAGAGAAATTTGCAGATAAATTGAAACGTAACGCTGAAATCGTGTGCATCCCTTAGAGAAAGATGTCAGATATTAGAAATATAATTCAAGCTACTGCAGAGGAAAGTGGTATGTGTCCACCATAAACAGAAACAATAAAAAAAAATTGAAACAGCTGTCAGTAAGGACCCCCCCCCCCCCCCCCCCCCCCCCCCCCTTTTTTTTTCCCTATACTAGGCAGATGTGGCTAAATGATACTAGAAGCATACGAAATGTATAGAACAGATTGCAAAGAAGGTATAAAAGTAGGTAAGAAGGAGAAATAAACACACCTGAATACACTAACAATATGTAATGGATATGGAAACTAACCATCAAAATAACGAATCTAAGAAGGCAATAAAATGAGGGTATCAATACAGGCTGTATAGTTTAAAAGATCACAATCGAAACATGATGAATATTAATGAGGAAATATGTAACAGATGGAAGGAATAGTTTGTTGAATTGTTAAATAGTGAAACTCCACTAAATTGCAAGAGATACCCACAGGTTAACCAAATATTGAAGAGCTTGATTTTGAAGAAGTACTGTATGTTATAACACAGCTTACAACAATAAAGCAACTGGTACTGATGAAATTTCAGCTGAACTTATAAAAGATAGTGGTCATGCAAAGACATATGAATTAACAAACATTGTTTGAAAACAGAGAAATTGCTCTATGAGTGAAAAGCGTCTTCATTAATACGCATTTTAAAAAAAGTAGAAGAGTGTAAATGAGAAAATTGTAGAGGAATATCACTTTTGTCTGCAAGCTATAAGATACTATCGGCGGTTCTACTAAACAGGCTAAAACCATACATTGTGGATATATTGGATGATTGCCAAGCGGGTTTCCGACAAAACAGATCAATAATAGATCAAATATTCATTTTACGGCAAATAACAGAGAAAAACTGTAAATATAGAAGAGATGTGCTTAATGTTTCTGTGGATTTTTAAAAGGCGTATGATAGTGTACGTAGAAACAGTTTGCGGAATGCTATGAATGCCTTTTGAATACCAAAGAAGTTAATTACGATGACCAAACTATGTATATAAGACACTAATAATATAGTAACAAATAAAGGCAGACACTAAGACCTTTTTCAAAAAAATATATGGCTTGAAGCAGGTAATGCTCTGACCCCACTTCTTTTCAACTTAGCCCTGGAGAAAATTATACGGAAATTGAAATTTAAAAAAAAAATGTGAAAGAGCAAATAAAGAAAAAGAAGATCAACGGGTATCTGCACACGAACTGCTGCTTGCATTTTGATATCTCAAAATATTGCGCGAAAAAAACGTGACCACCCAACTATTTGACAGTAAAGGCATTAACAGGCAGGAAAAGGTGCAACAAAAGAGAAGCAGGATGCACAACTTACGTACCAAAAAAAAAAAAAAAACACACAACGATTGTTTAATCGATTAGGAAACCACCAGCCCCTGCACAAGATACCTACTCTAATATGGACGGTCAGATCAGAACAAGTCATAACTTTTCGCCTTAGAACAGAGCACAGTCGATGACGAAACTATATGTACATGAAATTCAAGATTAGTGTAAACGACGGATCAACGTAATTACATACGGGTGTAACCCATAAGTGCTTCGTTATGCTTCTAACTCAAACCTGAATTAAAAGTGCCTCAGCACAGTGCACACACCCCGTTGCAACGGCGAGGATCCTCAAATACTTTGGGTAGATTTTTAACTCCACATTCTGCCTGGGCAGTGCTGTTAGGCTACTCCTTTCGATTTCCAACTGCCAAGGGATTTTTTACGTGCAAAACAATATATATGGGCATCCGATCTTGCTACCCAGAGACCAGATGAAATTACTAGAAGTCCACGTGAAGAAATCACAGCCTTCGCCGGGGTTTACACCCGGGACCTCTAGCACTAGAGGCGGATGCCATAGCTCAAGACCTCAAAGCCCCTCCCCTCCCCCCCCTTACAAAGATCAAGATAGATGTATTAGCCATAAGCACATGTGAGAAGATACCCCACACAGCAGAGCAACTTCTCCAGGACTGCGTCAAAAATAACATATCAAAGCAAACATTTTGGCCAGAATAAACTACAGTGGAACGTATACTGTGCGGACCAATAAATTAACTAAAAAAGGATTGACAGTGAAATTTTTACAAGAAACAAAATTGCTGATACAGACAACATATTTCAGGGAAACAAACAAAGGAGGTGATATTCTATTGATTTTGTTATACGATTCTTTTATGGTTCTTCTACATCTATATGCTCTTTTCATCCAATTTCATTTGTAAGCACATAATTAATCTGACTAATTAAGCTACATAAAACATCTAACATTACCATCAACAAATCTCTCACTCACTAGACGACCCAGAAACCGATCTAAATCCTCATTTGTACCCTGAATCTTCCCCTCTTACCGATTACGATTCGACAGAAGCAGGACCTGGCGTTTGTCGGAAGCCCCCGCCCAAATTCTGGCCCTCGGCAGTGCAGTCGTTGTTTGTCTGGTCCGTCTTATGGTACGGCATTCAGAAGCTCCAAGAAGCTGTGTTTGAGACTCGTGTGGTGGACATCGCTGCAATGAAAGTTATGGGCCCTTTAGGTAAGTGTTTCTCCTTGATATATAGCCTATCTTTAGAGTTAAGAAGTTCCATATGAGCGTCTTCTTCTTCCTTCTTCTTCCAAAATAAAGCATAGACAGTCAACCAAGTCACACTATGTCCTTGCCATCTTGTTCACTCACTGCTGGTTTTTGTGTGTGAATTTTATGGCTCTGGCGGGCTCCAGTTAAGAGTTAAAATCAATTCCGCAGGGTTTTATCCAGCGTGACTCGGTCTCCACAGAAAGGCTAACCCCCTGCTGAAAATGCTGCGCAAATACGTTAACTCCGTAGCTCCAACCACGACCTCTGGGGATCTTCGCAAACAAACCTCATGCTAACCGAACGAAGCCGTCCGTGAAACCAGTCCACGAACTTCAGAGCTAACGGTTTGGGATCTAACGGTTTGACCACTTCGGCTCAGAAACTCCCAAGGATTTCAGTATAAGGAAACAGACGTTTGTATTATAACCGCTGTAGTTTATGGATGTCTTAAGAGGCAACAATGGAGGGTTAGCGTCGGACTGACTACTTCACCCCAGAGATAACCATAGTTGCAAAATCACACCTCTAATGAATAAGCAAGGCTCCATGAGGTTGTATTGCTGGTCGAGATCTTAATTTCTCTGGGAGATCAAATGACGAAGTAGAACAAAAGAAAGAGAATTACGATGGAGAGGAGAGAGAAAATAACAATAAGAAGAAGTAGTAATAGGAGAAGTAGAAGTAGTAGGAGTAGTAGTAGTAGTAGTAGTAGTAGTAGTAGTAGTAGTAGTAGTAGTAGTAGAAGTAGTAGTAGTAGTAGTAGTGGTAGTAGTAGTAGTAATAGCAGCAGCAGCATTAGTAGTAGTAGTAGTAGCAATAGTAGTAGTAGTAGCAGCAGCAGCAGCAGTAGTAGCAGCAGTGATAGCAGCAGCAATAGTTGTAGTAGGAGGAGTATAAGTAGTAGTAGGAGTAAAAGAAGACGAAAAAGACAAAGAAGAAGAAGAAGAAAAAGAAGGAAAAAAAAGAAGAAAGAAGAAGAAGAAGAAGAAGAAGAAGAAGAAGAAGAAGAAGAAGAAGAAGAAGAAGAAGAAGAAGAAGAAGAAGAAGAAGAAGAAGAAGAAGAAGAAGAAGAAGAAGAAGAAGAAAAAGAAGAAAAAGAAGAAAAAAGAAGAAGAAGAAGAAAGAAGAAGAAGAAATAGGAGGAGGAGTAGTAGTAGTTGTAGTAGTAGTAGTAGTAGTAGTAGTAGTAGTAGTAGTAGTAGTAGTAGTAGTAGTAGTAGTAGTAGTAGTAGTAGTAGTTGTTGTTGTAGTAGTAGCAGCAGCATTAGCAATAGTACTAGAAGGAGGAGGAGGAGTATGAGGAGTAGGAGGAGTAATAAGACACACAACAAAGAATAGGAAAGGAGAACAAGAAGAAGAAGAAGTAGTGGTAGTAGTAGTAGTAGTAGTAGTAGTAGTAGTAGTAGTAGTAGTAGTAGTAGTAGTAGTAGTAGTAGTAGTAGTAGTAGTAGTAGTAGTAGTAGTAGTAGAGGTAGTAGTAGTAGTAGTAGTAGTAGTTTTGTTGTTGTTGTAGCGGCAGTGGTAGTAGCTGCAGCAGTTGTAGCACTAGTGGTTGTTTTGGTAGTAATAATAACAGTAGTAGTGGTAGGAGGAGGACTAGAAGAAGACAAAAAAGAAGAAGAAGTAATAGTAGACAGTAGTAATAGAGGATGAGGAGGAGGAGTAGAAGTAGACAACGAAAGGGAAAAAAGAACCACAACAGTGATAATTCAAATGATGTAAGCAAGAAAAATGAATATATAGCGACGGAGCAACAAGTCGGTTATGACACATAAAAGACACAAAACTAAAACCTCTTTTCACCAGCAATTACCGCAGCTGCTGAAGATGAGGGCGGAGCATGCATAGGAATGCCCTGAGTGGTGTGATGTCAATTATTGACTCAACTCAACTTAACGTAGCAACGTAATGGTGTACTGAAAGCACAGCAGTAAACACATATTCGAAAGAAAAAGCCACTCTAATGTGCATACCGTGTGGCCAGTGCGAAAGAAAGTTAAAACAAAATCACAGCATGAAAGGACTAGTTTCACAAACGAAATTCCACAGAAACAGGAAGCGAAGTACCAAAGTTCAGCTGGGTCCTAACAATAAATAATGGACACATCGATATTTGAGCTCGGGCATGTCAGCATTGTTCAGAAGAGGATTACGGATTACAGCGAGAAAGATGGATGAGCGTTTCATTTTCATTATTACCTCTTGGTGTTTTCGGCAAGGCGTATGTGTGGTTGGTTTTTGTTAGAGCGCAGAAAAGAGTTTGGTTGGTTAGTTGCTTATCCTTTACTGGACGTTACAGAACCAACCCTAGCAGCTTCTGTCTTTTGTGTGGTTTCTCTAGGCAAATTTACGTGATCGAAACCCACTGCGGGCTGCGTGGATTTTTATCGTGGTATGGGACGTCGCAGGTCGACCCAGCCTCAAATGGGTACCAGGATGGGCTGTCCTGGGAAAGTAAAGACAGCCGGCGTAATGCTGACCACATTACCCACCGAGTGCTGATGGTCTGTAAAAATATGGGCGCTCTTACCATATGCCCGATACGCCTAAAGGCGTTAAAGGGATCTTTACTTTACTTTTTTTAAATTTGTCATTGCTCCCTGAACGGTCGGCCCCCTGATACCCCTGTCGAAACCACCGCAAGGCGCATAGCCCGCAGCTGTGATCGAACCCGGCACCCCGGTATTACAAAGCGTTCACATCGACAGCCACAGAGCCGACTAGAAAAGATCTTACAGTTATCGTTTGCATGTGATTTGCCAATGGTGACATAATCTGGTTATGTTTATAGTACTGAATCTGCAGATTCTTTATAATTTGAATGGACTCCTAGGTCGACCTAGCTTTCACAGTATAAATGTTTATTACTATAAACATCATCATCATCATCAATTTTCTCTTCTGCCGTTAAGAGTTGTGGGGACGAACAGTTTGCGATGCGTTGGTTTGATGGGCATCAATGGCTTTTGTCATTCCTTGCAATTGTAGAACCTTTTTAATGTCAGCAATCCATATCCTTCTAAGGCGGCCTCTTGATTTCACTTCAGATCGTTTCATGTGTCGCGCCTACATTGGTATTGTTATGGCTGCATTCTTACTTACTGACTGAACCATTTGATCTTCCGCTTCTCAGTGAATTAGCTGCATGGTGTTTTTCCCGAAGTGTGTCTGATAAACTCATTTCTAAATTTGTCATTGATGATCAAGTTGGAGGCTTTCCCCGGCATCTAATTTCACAAGTTGTAATTGTACATGGTAAGGCCTTTAGTAATGTCCACGTCTATCACTATAAACAATGTATTTAAAATTACTTCCTACAACCTTTCCGGCTTATGTTCGCAGCATTAACAACTGTATATTTGTTTAAGGTATTTATCTATATGTATGACATGCATTCATTATCATCACTGTCGTTATGTGCCTTTATTTGGCACATAGGGCTCGCATTCCATTCCTTCATTCCTCTCTATCCTGTGTAAACAACAAAATATCATGGACATAATCTAATCCAGCAACTTTGACCTTTCTCAAAAACTTTCGTTTTAATGTTTCTTTTATGTGTCCTAGCTTCCTCAGTCCCTTTGTTGTGTATGACAGTACATGAAGTACATTGGCTATGTTTATTACCTCAACTGATTGATGTAATACCGTCTGATTTCCACAGACTTTGAGGCATACTTTGGCTACGTGCAGCTTATGGGAGCCTTCTGTTCACCTTTAGCCGGTGTCCTCATAGACAGATATTTCCCGAGAGACTTGGGTATGTATACAGCACTTTCACAAGGTCTTCGGGCGAACTGGTTTAGCAGTTTTCTGTGCTTTTTGTGGGTAAGAAGAAGAAGAAAAAAAAGAAAAAGACGAAGAAGAATAGCAAGACTAAGAAAAAAAAAGAGAAAGAAGAAAAAGAGGTGGAAAGAAGAAGAAAAATAAGAAGATAAAGAAGAAGAAGACAAAGGAGAAAAAGAAGAAGCAGAAGAAGAAAAAGAAGAACAAGAAGAACAAGAAGAACAAGAACATGAACAAGAAGTAGTTCAAGATAATGCGTTATAAAACACTAGACAATATGAAGTTGCATCAATAAGAATTTGGATATCACTCTAGTTATTCCTTGAGTCGCCGTGGCTGAGCGGCTAGACGCTCGTCGCGGATCGTAAGGCCGATTGGTCTATAAAAATATAGGTCTAGCCCTATATGCCCTATACGCCTAAAGGCGTGGAGAAGGGTCCTTTACTTTACTTACTTTCACTAGTTATTCCTTGATCCTTACAGATAATAATTAATTACACGCATCTAGGAGTGAACAGATGCAGATTAATACAACAAACCAAAATAACAATATTTACAATATTTACAACAACAACAACAACAAAAAAAAAACACACACACACAAAGTTACACTGCACCAAAAGCAGGCACATAACAGAAAGAATAATTTGACATCAATAATTAAATTTTCAACAACCCTCGCTTGAAACTAGGACTGGGGCGAAAAAAAGGGGGTTGGGGTGTGGCGGGGGTGGAGACACTAGACGGTTGGTTAAAAAGAGAAAAATATATCTTTGCGAGGGCAAATGTATGTTAAAAAAAAACATATTATCTGAAATTGCATCCTATTTGTACTGGTATTAAACTGGACTATGAGGACAACGAGAGAAGATGCTTGACAGTCTTGTTGCATGGCATGGAGGTGTGTCGGCACACGAACTGATACATGCTGCAGGCGATCGTAGATTATGGAGAGGCATGATCGCCCACGCCAGTCGGCAAGGCACCTGATGATGATGATGAGGACAGCAACTGCTAAAACCAGGAATGGAATTCAATGGATCCCTATAAAACAGCTTGTTGATTTGGACATCGCTGATGATATGTTTCTCGTCTGTCATACTAACGGAATCAGATGCAAGACAAAATAAATATTCCTGATGCGAGATGAAAACAGCTAGGTCTGAAAATCTACAAGGAAAAGACAAAGATGATGAGAAAAAAATCAGGCAAATAGTAATGTTTTTTTTTCCAAATGGTATCCCACTCCAAAGAAGAGGAGAAATATTGACACCTTAAAAGATCTGAACATCAAGGAAGATTGGCTAAGAAACAGAATCCTTTCTCGAAAGCTGAAATATGTTAGTCGTATCAAGCGCCACGACGGATTTGAAAAACAATTATAGCAAAAAAGGATGGTACCAGGAAGGAGGGGCAGGGGCTGACCGACACGAAGATGGGCACAGGATATAAGTAACTCCTTGAGTGTGAAAGTGCATGAGGCGGGAGAACTGGCGAGAGACCGAGTTTCTTGCAGGCAGACCGTGATAAGAGCGACGTTCTGCAAAGGACCTGCTACATGTTGATGATGATGATGATGATCCCACTTCAAGGCGTGGAGTCGTACACCAGTCTGGGCATAGATAAAAATAGGGGAACTAACAGAGATTTTCATATACGAATACAAAAGGCAAGAGCGGCCTTCAGAGCACTATGGAACTGTTGTATGGGTTGAAACATGGAGAACAACTAAAGGAATTACAACAAACATTCATGAACGTGCCCCTGGAGAATAGAGATAATAAAATGTTATGATAAAATCACTAATGTAGAGCTTTGGGAGAGAACTAAACAAGCTCCAGTGGACCAACCGGAGAAAACAAAGACTAGCATTGGATAGGACACAGTTGAGAACACCTGAGAAAAAATATAATTAGAATGTCATTGCGCTGGAATCCACAGGAGCATAGAAATAAAGGAAGACTAAAATAGAGACGAAGAAGCTGGGATCAAACACAGCAACCCGGCATTACGAAGCGCGTTCGCAACGCCAAAGCCACAGACGCCGCCAGACTAAATAAAAGTCTGAGCAATGTGCTGTAAATAATACTAATAAATCCCTGTGTGGGTTTCGGGATCCCATTTTGTTAGAAACAAGAATAGACCCACTGCCTTTCCAGCAAGCATGTCGTAGGATTACTAACTGGGGACTTTACTCGAAGTCGAAGTGCAAGGGACAACTAACTGCACACAAGTAAAACGAATGGACACGCTAAATTCAGGCCCTGGCAAAAAGTCAAAGTTCACCTTTACGAACAACCAGGATTTTTCGCCGGAGCTCAGCCGGTGAACAAAGAGGATGAAGAAGGCTAGTAAAATTGGAAAATTTCTGGCGAATTTATATTTAAAAAAAATGTTTTTAAAATAGTAATGCTTTGTGACCAAAAGAGTTTACTGAGGCCCGTATAGATTGTGAAGCACTAAGCTATACTGGATGCTGTGTACAATCTAAGATAACTTCACTGGCAGCTCCCATAACTGATTAAAAGTTTCATAAATTGACTGCATAGAGGTGCTTCCCAGCTTTACCCCAAGGACACGTAATCGGGTTTGCATTACAAACCTTTTATTATCCACCACCATATATCCATGAATTACATCTAAAGTTTAGAAATTGGAAGTTTATTTTTTTTAAACGGAGTCGTTTCTTTAACAGATGTTATTGATTAGTTAATAATTATTATTTCATTGCAACAGGTTATTCTCAAGCCACAAAGCAAATGCAGCGAATCGTTCCCGCCATTGTAGCAACATCCTGTTTGGCAGTGGCTGAGATTGTGACAGATATGTTTCATGGTCCCGCCCCTCAAGCCGTCTCCACCCTCTTCAACATTCTGCATAAAGTTTTCACACACACCACAATGTGCGCCTTTGTCATGCATGTGTGAGTATTGTTACTTTCAAACAGTTACACCAGTAGTTCTCAACTTTCCTGTATGTGTGAGTATTGTTACTTTCAAACAGTTACACCAGTGTTTCTAAACCTTCCTGTATGTGTGAGTATTGTTACTTTCAAACAGTTACACCAGTAGTTCTCAACTTTCATGCATGTGTGAGTATTGTTACTTCCACACAGTTACACCAGTAGTTCTCAATTTTCCTGCATGTGCGAGTATTGTTACTTCCAAACAGTTACACCAGTAGTTCTCAACTTTCATGCATGTGTGAGTATTGTTACTTTCAAACAGTTACACCAGTAGTTCTCAACTTTCATGCATGTGTGAGTATTGTTACTTCCACACAGTTACACCAGTAGTTCTCAATTTTCCTGCATGTGTGAGTATTGTTACTTCCAAACAGTTACACCAGTAGTTCTCAACTTTCCTGCATGTGTGAGTATTGTTACTTCCACACAGTTACACCAGTAGTTCTCAACTTTCCTGCATGTGTGAGTATTGTTACTTCCAAACAGTTTCAACAGTGATTCTCAACCTGCCTAATGCCGCGACCCTGTTATACAGTTTCTTATGCTGTTGACCCCTCAACCATAACATTATTTCGTTGCTACTTTATAACTTTAGTGAATATGTGTTTTCTGATGGTCTTAGGGTCAGGGTTTGTGGCTTAGGCCTAGCGAACAAGCTTCATAATGCCAGAGTGTCGGGTTAGATCCTTGTCACATATCACTCCTGTCGCGTGCCTAATGTAAGGATTCCTCCTTCAGAACCAACAGCACTCAGAGATAATTATGTTGAGTCGTTTGGCTCGTATTGGTCTAAGGGATTCCCCGTGGCCAATATACGCTCAACTTATCTCTGGAGTAGGGCAACTCAAGTATTGGCACTACAAAATATATCAGTATATAAATACAATATTTCTAGGCACACTTGGCTGGACACCCCCACTACTTACTAAAGAAAGCCCCCAGGTTATGATAGTTCATTATCATAACCATGTTAACACATATAATGAAGATACACATACAACTGCTAAACACTTAAGAAGGTGACATAGAGAAACCTAAGTCAGCCATGAAAATGAATGCATGTATTTAGTATAATATCTGTACATAAAAAATTGAAGTGAATTCCAGCTATCAGTGAAAGAATCTCAGCACCAATGTCTAGATCCCAAGGAAACTATACAGACAGCCGGTCCTGGAGGTGACTATATGTCATCATTGGAAACAAATGAGCTGTGAGGAAAAAAACAGCATATGGAGTATCAGACTTAGCTTCTATCCTTTTTGTCTATGATGCCTCCTTCAGCTCCGGATGATTCGACTGTCTTTGATTCTGGAAATTCTGCTCCACTGGATCAAATAGTCAGAGAGTACCTCACCATAGATGACACAATACTGCACTGGTACTTAGCAAGTCTCTATCACCAAGTAGACTATATATTGTTTTTGAGCTACCCTAAGCTCTAGCACTGGTAGGATGTTTGAGGTACCATCTCCCACATGTTGGAAATGTCAAGAACCTTCACAGGTGTTAGCTGGTGAGTACAGTTAGTTTAGGGTTGTTTGGTTTGTTGATGGGTGTTGGTTGGACTGTGAAACTTCTGCCAGCTCCTCACAAAAGATACATCCTGTCAAGGAAATAACTCAACATTAGTCATCACCAAGAGGGTAACATCTTGACAGGAAAGACAGAACAAGCATAAGTCATCAACCCCCATCTGCTGACTCCCCCCTGCTCTCCTGTTTCATTCCTCAGATTGTCTCTCCAGACCAAGAGATATAAGTCTCCTATATTCATCTGTCTGTTTAGTGCAAGAGAAGGCAAGTCAGATATACAGTGGAGATAGATAAAGTGTTCTAACACATATATCACTCTCTCTCTCTCCCCCCCCCCCCCTCTGCACACAGACACCAATATTTACTGTTAGTACCTGCCTGCCCCAGATTTCCCAACGTTCGCCCTAGCACTCATTGATCTGGGTCAAACACACACATACTTTGATTAACAAAGTCCTGACCCAATTATGTCCCCATTTGGTATGCACAACTTCTCTAGTTAGTTTAAAACGTACATACTTGTAAGGGTATTAAGTTGTACCAATATGGGTGGTTTACTGAGGGCATAACCTATTTAGTCTGTACAGGGGAAGATCTACGTTCGAATCCGCTTCT